TTATTTAGAAAAACTATCAAAATAGGAACTAAAAGAAAAAATGTAAACAATTATAAGCTTAAATTTTTCTTCCTAAAGAATTTACAGAGAAGATATTTTAGACATAGAACGAATTTAATTAAATAATTGAATTTAATTATCAAATTAATTGATACCTGGCGATGTAGCAACCATTCAGGAAATGCAAGCCATGCAGCACCAATAATTACGGATACAAGACTGTCCATTTGGAACAAAGTATTACTCATAATATTTGTACTGACCGCTTCACCCAATGTCCATCGATGAGCTGTTTGAAGGCAGAAATTCACCGCTAACCAAACATAGCACCAATATTTAGCGATTTTCAGATACTGCAGCATTTAGAAATATAAAAAACGTGCAAAAAAAGAAAACGAAAAAAAAAACTAAGAAATTTTAAAGATTATTAATTTTTTAAATTTAAACAAATTTACGAACTTTTTTTGTAGAAAATTTGCAGTTCAAGCAAAATAAATGAATGAATGAATAAAAAAGATACATCTAAGATTAAAAATGAAAAAAATAAAAAAAGTAAAGATCGAGATTTCAAATTTTGAAACATTCAAATGTCACCCTAAACCTAATTCGCTTTAATTTCAGAATTTATTTTTTCCATCACTTCAATCATTTCATTATTAAATTTAATAGAAAAAAAAAATCTTGAGCAGAAAATTTGAAATACTTACATTTGGATGAATTAAATTTGGTGTTTCTGCTGAACAATGTACCAGAATTAGAAGTACTGATATTAAACCCTAAAATAATTACACAATTATATTAATTTCACTGAAACGCATACTTCAAAACTAACTTAAATTGCATATAAAAAATCTCGGAATGAATGCAAAAATTTTAGAGATTAAAATTTTTAAATGAAAATTAATTTTATTTTTGATAGAAAAATCTTACAAACAATGATAGCATGTGTTGGAGTTGATGAATTTTTTTGGAAAAAAATTGATCATTAAACTTTGATAGTCCTCATAAATTTTCACAAACTATTTCCAAGAATTTTACAGTGGAGAAAAAAAATGGCAATAAAATTTAAACGGACGAGAATTCGGACGAGATAGCAAGTTGAGAGTGCTTCAATCGAAGAATTTCTCAATCGATACATCAAGAAACCGGCACCAATACGTTGACCTCCAATACATCGAAGTAAGTGCCAATGTACGCCATCTGTTTCGTGGATCTATAATTTCAATCATTTCAATCAATTGAAGCAATTATTTGAAATTTAAATGTTACATGTAAAATTAGATGTTCAAAAAAAAAAAACAATTGAAGTAATTAATTAATAGCTATTTCAGAAGAATGATAAGATTAGTGACGAAAAACGCTGAAATGTGGAAAATTTCCAATAATATTTTTGCTTTACAATGTATATAATAAAATTTGTTGCAATGAAAATTAATTGCGTGCATTTAAATAATTAACTTTAATGGAATTATTTTCGGAGAAATGACTTTTTCATCAAATGCAAATGTTCAATTAATTTTGAAAATCAATAATACTTGCAATCACAAGAAAGATTCATCGAGCAAATTAATTTCGTTTTTTTTTTTCTCTCTGTTTCCAGAATTGAAATGGCAAAATTCCAAAATTGATGTTACGAAATTATTTTAGAAATTTCAAATCATCATCAGCTATTACTTCTATTGCTGAAATAGTAATGAACTCGAAAGCTCACTTGTTTAATTGCTAATTTAAGCAAAAAAAAAAAAAAAATCAACTATGATATCTTTAATTAAGCCGAGAAAAAAAATTCTCATCATTTAGCGATTATTTAATTCAAAAATTGGAAAATTCCTTTGGTGTTAATTTCAAAATGAATTTTGCAACGATATTAAATGTATATTATATATGATGATAATATTATATGATGTGCTAATTCTTTTTATTAGAAATAAAAAATTAAACAGATCAAAATTTAAATTGAATTTTTTTCAAAAAAAAAAAGTTGTCATTATTAATTAAAGAAATGAAAAACTTACAAAAATAAAGTAAGCGATGAGTGAAGGTGTAAAGAACAGAAAAGCACCAATGATAAATGATATAGCAATATCAATGAGTAACAAACTGCGTCGCAATTTCATGATTAGTAGCAATTGACGTTTACCGATGAATTGAAATGTTTGCAAGGTTGATGATGCGGTAACGTAGGAAAGGTGCTGTACCGTTTGCATTTGAGCTTCGTTTTTATAATATTCGCGTTGAAAATTTTTTTTTTTCGTTTTTTATAAAAAAAAAAAAAAAATTAATTATCAAACGGTTAGATGAAAAAGAAATGAGAAAAGGATAGCTATTTATTTTATGTATCACTCAATTCCTTTTCTTTTTCCCTTTTTCCCTTTTTTTTTTTTGGAAAAACTTTTCCTTAAATTAATTAATTTCTGATCATTAAAAATTATGAAAAATTAAAAATTCTTCACCATTGAACTAAGGAAAAAGACTTTAAAAAAATTTTTTCCACTTAATAATCTTAAAAGTATATGGGAAAAAAAAAAACTGGAATTGATTATTTCAAGAAATTTCGAATGATGAGTTCAGTTCACAGGAAAGGAATGATAAAAATCTGTTTTATTGATTTGAAAGAGAAAAAGGGTGAGAGAAATTCCTTCTATAGGTATGAATGAGTATTAGGAGAGAATTTCATTTCCCTTCCTTTTTCACAATCTCTCCCTCCTCCTACAATCATCAACCTCCTTCCTCCACATCATATCGTTCATTCTTCACAAATTACTCATCTATCCATTACCTTTATTGCTCAATTCTTCAATAACAAATGACATATATTTATATACATATATAAACTATTTTAACTATCATCTTATCAAAATTTATTTAAACATTTACAGAAAAAAAAAAAACGAAGAGAAAAAAAAAAAGAATAAAATACTAACAGTGCATAAAGTATGTCGAATTCATACAATATCAAACCATCGAATGACATATTCGTTTGCTTCATTTTTCGCCGAACATTACATTGAAAAAAAAAAAAAAAATTGTTACGGATGGTAGAAATGAATTATTTCACTTTCTTATCATTAAAATCAAAATTTCGCCAAAAGACAACTGTGATTCTTTGATAGGCCTTGATATTATCAAAGTTTGATTTGTAACATATGATAAAATAAATGAATTATTGTTGTTGTTAAAATGAGGAGGAAATTTTACATTTGTTCTTTAATATATATTTTGTTGGAAATTAAATGAAAAAAAAAAGAAAATATTGTAATCTTTATTGAAGAGATTAAAA